ATCCAATTAGAGCATTAATAGATTTAGAAGATAGTGAAATTAATGTAGAGAATGAAGTTGAGTTTGAAACGGATGTTGAGGAAGACTTAGATGAAGAATGTAACAATGATGACAATGACACCGATTAGTGATTTGGTAGATCCTAGCTATTACATTATGTAATCTTGATTTTTATATTCAATGCCCATATTATCGACTAGAATGTTATATAATTCTAGTAGTAAATAAGGGTTTAGGCAACCTTGTCCTCCCATGTTGTTAGGCTAAGTTTGGTTTTGTCACCCCATGTAATTTTTCACCTTATTTTAATATATCTCCAAGGTACCATCTCTGTTTTGAAGAGAAAAATTTAAATATATTTGAAAGTACTATTCATATTAATATGAATGTTATATGGTAGTTTTATGTAATTAATATTTTATTTTAATATTAATGAATGGAATAGTGTGCGAGTTAAAATGCCTTGAGGTAGGGAACATACTCGGCCTCACCGACCTATGTCATATGGTGAGGGTCATGGCTCGAAACCGATTTAGGTAGTGATTGTGGATGTGAACGTTATTCTCATTCCTTTTCGGGTAGGATGGACCCCTCCATGCAAATGCTTCCGGACTACCTTTCTAGTTTCACCACAATATACCCATCATTCCCTTCGTGGCATGAGCTTGAGTCGTTTCCTTCTAGACCTTAATGTCCTCGAGCATATTTCCCTTCGTTGTCATTAGTGCCTTTGTCATCGTAATAAGACAATCGTTCTGATCCTAAACAAGTAAGGTCGCATAACGTAATTCGTCCATTGGCTTCGAAACCTTCGGACCCATGGTCGATCCGTGAGTTTTGATCATTATCGTTGATCGTAATGAGTACGTTTTATGCATAATTGTATGAAAATATTTTTCTTCATTACCATAATTATATATTCATTTATGTGTTAAGTTAATGACTACTTTCATAGGTTATATACTTTGGATGTTTGCGCTCGACATATCTCTAAGACATTTCGTGAGTATGTTCACATTTTCGGATGGACATGGAAGAAAATGAGTCCGGAAATAAAAGATCTATTGGGAAGAGTTTAAGGTACTATTTTATTTAGTTCATTAATTATGTTACTTCATATTAAAAAAAATATCCAATTAAGTATACTAATGAATTTTTTTTTCCTTGCGAAGGCATTTACATGGGAGAGTAACGAGTCCACTTGTTAAGACGAGCATGGGAACATCCGGCATGAAATCAATATTTCGATTTTCTTTTTCATCTCAAGCAAGGCTCGAAGCCAACATTTATCTCACAAGACATGTGGGATGCATGGCATGCCAAATGGGCGGAACACGAGGCCATTGCCCGATCCGAGATGGCTGCACGAAACCACAAGATTAAGACTAGTGGTGTCGGAGCCGGTCCTTCAAGGCATACGGAGGGGTCAATCGGTCATAAAGAGCACGCAATACATATGGTAAATATATTTATATACAATAATTTTTTTTGTGATTTCAATATAATTAATTAAAAGTTTGAGTATATTTCATACATTTACGTGAACTTATTTTAGCATGAGTTATTGGGTCACGAACCTAATCCACATGAGATTTTTAAAAGGACGCATCGGAAAATGGTTGATAATTAATACGTATTCGTCGATCAACGATCAAGAATTATTGGAGCAAGGTTTTAGTTTATTATGTCATATCAAACATTTTAATTTTTAACGTTATTTAACATAGTCTGTTTAATATTTTATATTTCATAATTGTGCAAGAGACCATAAAAAGAATGATGGAGGAGAAGGTTACTAGTCGGCGGACCGGGGGAGTTCATCGTTGGACGTCAACATTAATGATGAGGAAGAGGATGTACGGACTCGGCTCACAAGCATCGCACTACTACTCCAACGTCGGTACAACCTCCGGTTCGACAACTTCGCGTCGCAATGTTAGTGATGAGGCATAACAAAAGGAGACCAAAGATCGATATAGTCGGCTAGAGTCTACTTGTCACATCGTTGGTGGCTACAACTAAAAGATTGGAGGAGTACGATCAACAACAACAAGCGATGATGACACGGATGCAAAAAATGTTTATGCGAGCATATGCATTCGGGCAATTCATCCGACGTGCCTAACACCGACGATGATTGCACCCAACCTCCAAACAATTCAACCCAACCTTCGAGTGACAATCCTGCTGGTCAATTCTAGCGTATTATATTTTATTTCTTGTTATAACAACAAACCTTCGAATGTTTATGATAATTTATTAGTTTAATAATATGTTTTACTTTTAAATAAAAATTTTCAATTTTGAAATTTATCCATTTTTTTATTTTAAATTGAGATTAAAAAAAAAAGATAATTAGTGATGGAATTGGAGACGGAATAAACCGTCTCTAATTAGTGACGGTACGGATTCTCGTTGTAAAACCGTTGCAATTTTCGATGGTTCTAGTCCATCTCGGAATTTAGAGATGGACCTAAATCCGTCATAGAAATTAAAGACGATCTTAACCGTGGCAAAATTTACCGACTGGTATTTTTTCAAGATTTTTTGGACCGTCGCTAAATAAAATTAGCGACGGACTAGACCGTTGCTAATTTTTTTTTTTTTTTTTTTGTAGTGATAATTATTAACATGAAAAGAAATAGATAAATAAGCAAAAAAAAAAGCTATAGTTAACATGTTAAATTTACTTGGATCAATGTGGTTATTGCCTATAAACATGCCAACGCATCCTCTCTTGAATACATCTAAAGCAATTTGGAGTTTTTGGTTAGAGCTATTGAATACTCATTGCCTCCAACATAAAGCATGTAAACTGCTGCAGGCAATGTTTTTCTTTTTTGATGAAAAACGATTAGATTAAGAAAGTGAACAGAGCAAGCAAAAACTATTTACAAAGAAGAGATAAAATAAATAAATAAAGTTAAGTAAGATAATTTTTCTATCTATCTGTACCTTGTTTAGCCAAACTATAGTTCAAATTACGAATAAAAGAATTTATACACACAAAATCATTATGTATTTTTCATGTCTCTCATTAGCATCTTGACGAAAGTATTCAAAGTTAGATTTTATGATCCAATTCACTTTCTGAGAAAGATAATGAGAACTTACCTCCAAAGTTTTTTTAATAGCTAGAGCTTCAGTTTCATTAAAATCTTTAATACCAATTGGAAATGAGAAGACAGAAAAGAACTTTTCTTCATGATTCCTGAGCACCCCACTGATGTCAGAACTATCTGGTTTTTTCAAAGAAAAACCATCAACATTTCGTTACAAACACCTAATTTTCAGCTTTTCTCATTTAGTTGGTTGGCGATTGATGAATCCATTAGTCCATTTTTGAATTCCTTATTAACTTCTCACTGAATTACTTCCAGAATAAGCAAAGTGATGATCAACAACTTTTATCCAAGTAATTCTATGAAATAATAAATAAAATAGGTAATCCCAATCAGGATTGACATTTTTTAAAAATAAGCTAACCAACCAAGTAGACCGTAAAACTATAAAGACAACTAAAAATCACAACTTCTTTTACATCTTACCGCTATTACATCTTACCACTAGTATCTTCAATTAGAGAATATGAAAAGGGCACATATAAAGCCCATCCAACTTTGATCAATTTTCTTGAGGCTTGGGCTCATCTAACCCAGATATCTATGAGATATTATTATCTTTTATCTGTCAGTTTAGTTGGTCTCTTAACTGAGGATCGTCAAGACAGTTGTTGTTGTATTTCTGATGTAAATACTTGCTACCATCAATTGACAATAAGAGTAGACCATCATAAAATTGGGCGAGTAAATTATAAATTAGTCTCTCTCGTTTAGAATAACGAATTAATTAATCACATTTTTAAAAAAACTAATCATTCAGTTCTTCGCATAATTTTATCAATAACTTAATTATTTCACCATTTTTTCATTAGATTAGTGATTTTTTATTCCTATATATATATATATATATATATATATATATATATATATATATATATGTAGGTCTAGAAAAGAGAAAGTGAGTAGGTAAATGAGAGAAATAAGGTATTAAAAAAAAGTGCAATTTGAAAAAAAAATCACTAATCTATTAGAAAACTAATGAAAAACTAAATCGTTTATGAAATTAAAATATAAAAATTAAGCGATTAGTTTTTAAAACGAGAGGAACTGATTAATTTATTTTTTAAAACAAGAGGAACTAATTTATAATTTACTCGAAATTGGGCTTGCAAGTATGTATCAAGTAATTGAAAAAAAAAAAAAGTCTCCAAACCCTAATTGTAGCATGCACAAGACAGTGCTAAAAAAATAAAATAAAATCATCACTTCAATTTTATCATGCATAAAATAGAAAATTGTTAGATGAGTGGCCTAATAAACAAGAGATTAGTTACCTTTTCTTTCCAACACCTCCCATGCCGAAGATTCAGAAAACATCTATCATTGCAAAACATTGGCAGTCCTTCCTTTCTTTTTTTCCTTTTGCTTCTCATATCAATCTGAAGATTCCGAAAGTATGTTTTTTGTAGGTAGGATAGCTGAATAAACTCAACTTGGAACCTTGAATTGTTTACATTGATTGTACAATAACTAACACCACTCAGTTCAGCCTAATGACACTAGTTACTTCAGCTTAGATGCATAATAACCCTGGATAAAGAATCAAGAGTATGTGAGAACTAAAGTGATAATGCAAATACCCTCATCTTTAGCAAAGGATTATTCACAGATCGCAAAAAGAATTAAAGAAACCGCACAAAGCAGTTGCGGTGCTGGCATATGGCCTTGTATTTCCCCTGATTTTCTTCTCTATCTCTAGCAGCTGCTACCTCCTGCCAGATTCTGCTTCTTGGGCGCAAAAATAAGTCATCACAGGTATGATCATGAGCCCAATCAACCATTTTTTCTTTTGCACGGGATTCTATTTTCATCATATGCTTACTTCAGTTAATATCCTATTGATAATTGCTTATAACTTAAAAGCTAATTTTAAGCATTATGGCTGCTGGTGGTTTTGTTACTAGTGATGTTGAAAATTATCCAGAAAAGGTCACTTGGGATGCGGTAATTGCTTGTATTCTTGGAGCCATGGTGGCTAATTTTTCGGATATGGCATTGGTATCTCCGGTGGTGTCTCATCATGGCTTCCTTTTTGAAAATATGTTTCCCATCAGGTGATTGAAAGGCAGCATCATATACATCCACCAACTAAGACTGCAAGTTTCATGATACCCAGTTTACCATTTTCATGTCTCCGTTATACTTGGCTGCATTGGCTACATCTCTTGTTCTTTCTCATGTCACAAGGAAGTGCAGTCAAAAAATACCAATGATCCTTGGTGGCTTCATCTTTCTCATGGAGGGATTATCAATGCCGTTGCTGTTGATATCTTAGTGTCTATTGCTGGTCGCATTTTAATAGGTCTTGGTGTTGGTTTTACCACTCAGGTAAGCTGATCCTAGTATTTAATTATCTGCATGAATCTAAGTTCATTTTTTTATAATCATGTAACACATATAAGTTTATCATTTGTTTTCTCAGAACTTTGTGTTATTCGTTTTAATTGCAGTCTGTGCTAGTTACCTCTTAGAGATGGCTCCATCAAGTTATTGTGGTGCTTTCACCAATGTATGCCAGACTTCCAGTTAGCAATTACAAATGAAATTTTGATAGTGAATGATGTCAACTTAAGATTCCTGGAGGACTAGGATGGCAGATAAGCTTAGGCAGTGCACCCATTCCTGCTCTCTTCATCTCAGGCTCAGCTTTTTTTCTGCCTAACACCCCAAACTCTTTTCTAGAGCTAGGTAAAACTGAAAAGGCTCGAGAGAAGCTTAGGCAAGTACGTAGTGCTAGTGATAACGATATTGAGCCTGAATTCCAAGCTTTGGTTAATGTCATTTAGGCATCTAAGCAAGTGGAGCATCCTTGGAGTGGTATTCATAAGAGAGAGTATTGGTCAAAACTGACCATGGCTGTAGCTATTCCATTTTTCCAACAAATTTACTGGGATAGATGTGCTGTCATGTGCTACTCTCCTGTGATATGCTTCGCTTTCCTCCTCAGCCATTACGGGCAGTATTACTGTTGCTGCGATCCTTATTTCCATCCATGGGTGCGATTAATGGGGAAGAAAATTGTTAGTAGATAAACTTAAAATTAATTATTATCATTATTAGTGGTATGTGATAAGTCTTATTATTTTAAGAGTTTACGGTTATGTTCATGAATGAGATATCAAAAGTCTATCTTGATGATTAAGATTTATGGCTATATATAGTGTATTTATCGTTATGAATAATATCAGTTTTCCTATCTTCTAAATTTTAGTCTATTATTCTTCTCTCTTATGCCAACAATCTGGTATCGAGCCCCTGTTAGAAAAAGATGATGAATGGAGGCATGTTCCCTTTCTAATTTCCTAAACTCACAAAAGAAAATTATGACAATTGGTGTGTTAGAATGAAAGCATTGCTAGGATCGCAAGATGCATGGGAAATTGTTGAGAAAGGTAATGAGCAACCAGAAGGTGAAGAAGCCATGGCACGCATGACTACGAGTTGAGAGGGAAGCACTCCAAAGGACAAAGAAAAGAGATCAACAAGCACTAACGTTGATTCATATGTGCTTGGACGAAACCATGTTTGAGAAGGTTTCGATGCGACTAGTGCGAAACAAGCATGGGAAATTTTAACGAATTCATTCGGAGGAGTTGATAAGGTGACCAAAGTTCATCGTCAAACCTTAAGAGCTGAGTTTAAGTCTCTTAAGATGAAAAATTCAGAATCAATTTCAGATTATTTTTCTAGAGTCCTGGTTGTTGTCAATCAATTGAAAAGATATGATGAGAAGATGGAGGAGGTTCAAGTAATTGAAAAAATCATGCGGTCTCTTGATAAAAAATTCAATTATGTTGTTGTGGCTATTGAGGAAGCAAAAGATTTAGAGACCATGACTATTGATCAACTCATGGGCTTTCTAAAAGCTCGTGAAGAACGCATGAAGGAGAAAGAACCATAAGCACAAGTTCTTCTCTCAAAGTTGTCATATAAAGATAAAGAAAAACAAGATGGGACCGAAGAATCGTAAAGAGGAAAAGGAAGAGGCAGAGGTAGAAGTCGTAGAGGACATGGAAATGGTAGAGGAAGAGGCGGATCTGATTATAATTCTTATAATTCAAAAGAAACCAATCGGGGATACCCTACAACAAGAGGACATGGCAGAGGAAATTGGCACAAAAGTGGAGGACGAAGGGCTGATGTGTAGTGTTATAATTATGAGAAATATAGTCACTATACCTCCGAGTGCGAAGTTCGAGTCCTAAGGAAGAAAAAGCTTACCGTGCAAAAGGAAAAGAGGAGGAAGAATCAGCTTCCTTGTTGATGGGCAATGAAGAAAAATGCCAAAAAGCATGGTTCTTGGACACAAGCGCAAGCAATCACATGATAGGCAAGAAAGATTTATTTTCCTCTTTAAATGAATCTTTTGAAAGAAGTATTTCTTTTAAAGATGAAAGAAAGGTGACGGTTGAAGGAATTGGTGATATTCTAATTCGGAGCCAAGAATGGCTCTCATCAATTTATTTCTCAAGTGTATTATATGCCCGTGTGCTCGCACTCAAAACAAATATCATGAGTTTGGGTCAACTCTTGGAGAAAGGATATGATATTCGATTGAAGGATGGTGGACTTGTGATCGGAGACACTAGAGACACGCTAATTGCAAAAGTGAAGATGTCAAAGAATCGAATGTTTTCTCTCAAACTTCGGGCCAACGATGTAAAGTGTTTGAAAGCCTCAACTTCATATGTCTATTAGCTTTGGCATCAACGAATGTGTCATCCGAATTTTTCTAGTTTGATGCAAATGGGGAAGGAGAATTTATCAAATGGACATCAAATCAGCCTTCTTGAATGGATATTTCAAAAAAGAGGTATATCCGCAACAACCTCCCGGCTATGTTGTCAAAGGAGATGAAGAGAAAGTTTTGAAGCTAAATAAGGCCTTGTACGGCTCGAAACAAACACTAAGGGCACGGTACGAGTCACATTGATGAGCATTTCGATCGAAGAAATTTGTTAAATGCCTACACGAATATGGCCTTTATGTGAAGAAAAATGAGAATGGTGATATGTTGATTGTGTGCTTGTATGTTGATGACTTGATATTTATATGTACTAATTCAGCTATGTTTGATGAATTCAAGAAGGAGATGGTTACTAAATTTGAGATGACAGATTTAGGTTTGATTTCTTATTATCTTGGAATTGAAGTGAAGCAAGTTGATGAAGACATTTTTGTTTCTCAAAGCAATTATGCAAGGAAGATTTTGAAAGAGTTCAACATGGAGAATTGTCAATCAATCTCTACTCCAGTTGAATATGGAGCCAAGTTATCAAGGTTTGATGTAGCTGAAAAAGTGGATCCAACTTTGTATCGAAAGCTAGTTGAAAACTTGATATTTCTAACATGTTCAAGACCCGATATCCTCTATGGTGTTGGTATTATCGGTCGCTATATGGAGAAACCAACTATCACTCATTTTAAGGTCTGCTAAGAGGACCTTGAGATATGTTAAAGGTACTTTGGATTATGGCTTATTTTATTCATCTTCCGAGAACTGTCATCCGGTTGGTCATAGCGATAGTGATTGGGGAGGAGATGTTGATGATCGAAGAGTACCATAGGTTTCTTGTTCAATCTCGGAAATGCCGCATTCACTTGGAGTTCTAAAAAGCAACCGATTGTAACTCTCTTAACTTGTGAAGCTGAGTATGTCACCGCTCGTTGCGTGTGTTTGTCATGCTATTTGGCTAAGAAAATTGCTTGAGATGATGCAAATGTCACAAAGTGAAGCTACTGAAATTTTTATTGATAACAAATCCGCCATAGCATTGGGTAAAAATCCAATATAGATACAAAATTCCATTTCATAAGAGAGTGCGTTAGCAAGAAGGAAGTGCAACTGAAGTATGTGAAGTCACAAGATCAAGTTGCTGATATATTCACAAAGCTTTTAAAGTTTGAAGATTTTGCTAGATTAAGAGCAAGTCTTGGTTTAACCAAAATTCAAGTCTAAGGGAGGATATTAGTAGATAAACTTAAATTAATTATTATCATTATTAGTGGTATGTGATAAGTCTTGGTATTTTAAGAGTTTATGGTTATGTTCATGAATGGGATATCAAAAGTCTATCTTAGTGATTAAGATTTATGGCTATATATAGTGTATTTATCATTATGAATAATATCAGTTTTCCTATCTTCTAAATTTCAGTCTATTATTCTTCTCTCTTGTGCCAACAAAAATTTTTATTTTTTGGTGGAATTATAATGTTCTTATTTCAGGTAATCAATGGAAGTCCTCTTTTATTGAAGTTATAGTTTTCCTTTTCCTATTTTGTTCCCTGAAAATAAATTTGCATTGTCCTTTTCTTTTTCACAACTGAAGTACCTTTTGTTGTTTGGTTTATACTTGCTTAATGTAAATTCATGTTACATGAGCAGATTGTTCAAGATGCTCTTATTGGATGTAAATTTGGAACATCTGGAGATGTGATTCAATTGCCAGATTGGTATGCAGGTATAGTTGCATGTATCTGCTTCTTGGATGCTGCTTTCACAAGCTCATGGGGACCACTGGGATGGTTACTACCAAGAGAAAATACTTCTGTTGGAAATCCGGTCAGCTAAAGCACAGCAGTCTCTGTTAACCTGTTTTTCAATTTCTTTATTGCCCAATAGTTTCTTCCCATGCTTTGCCTCATGAAAATTGACTTGTTCATCTTCTTTGCAAGCTTTGTGGTAATTAATACTTCATCCGTTGAATTCTTATTAAGTGAAACGAAGAACATACCATTAAATGTTGCTTTATTGTTGGCAAGCACAATGAGGGGTTTGGACAAAGCGATGTTGTGCATTATTGCAAGCTTGATAGCATCTTTCAAGCACCCTGATCAAACTTTTTTGGATGGCTCAACTCTCTGGTTAGGTGTTCAACCAGAATCACTTAAGAAGTAAGAGTCCAAATTTCCTTCCTCCACCCTTGTATTTCCTCGAAAAACAAAGGAAAATACTCATAATTTAGATAAACATGAAAAGAAAGAGATAAATAAGAAAAAAAATATAATTATAATGTTAAATTTACTTGGATCAGAGTGGTTATATTGCCTATAACTATTGCAACGCACTCCTCTCTTGAATACATCTGAAGCAATGTGGAGTTTTTGGCTAGAGCAGTAGAGCTACTTAAGAGTCATTGCCCCAGACATAAAGCATGTAAGCTACTACAGGCAGTGTTTTTCTTTTTTGATGAAAATCGATTAGATTAAAAAAGAGAAGAGAGCCATCAAGCACATGGAAAACAAAAATTACAAAGAAGAGGAAAAAAATCTAAATAGCTAAAATCTAAATAGGCCTGTCGTGCAAGAAGCTAGCCGCCCAAAATGGCCATAATTTACAGATGATTTGGCTAATGAGTAATGACAGTACAGACCACAAACAGTGATTGAAGCAATTGTGTCACTGTAGAAAAGTAAAGAAAAGAAAATTTCAGGGAAAAAAAATCTTGGATTCAATCCTGTTTTTGGTTTGCTCTATGACCTTTAGGTAGTCTTTCTGAAGTTTTCTTTTCTTTACTTTTCTACAGTGGCACAACTACTTCTTTTACTGTTTGTGGTTTGTAGTGTCATTACGCATTAGCCAAACGAATCTGCAAATTGTGGCCATTTTAAGGAATAGATAAGGAAACACATGAGAGTGAGAATTGTGGAGCACTTACATGAAAGAGCACAGAAAAGGGAAACAGAAGATCACACAACAGTAATTGAAGAGGCAGTACTGCCCTGCCCTAGCTATGAACCTAAACCAAGTTGCAGGAAAGGAAAAGATTGAGAGGAAAAGATTG